AGTACCTCCACCACTACCTATGCTCACTTATTTTTGCCATTATCGGCCTGGCCTTCATTATTGACCAAAGCACATTCCTTTGTCTTCTCTTCCTATCTATCTCCTTTTTATCTTTTATCTACTTCTCCCCTATTACGTACGGCCATCTTGGCCCAATCGAAACCATCCCCGGCAAATCAATCTTCACCAAGTGGAACTTGTACACCGAATAAATTTCTACTCCGTATCACTATCTACACTCCATCCCCCTATCTCTAGATAGCTTAAATGGCCACTTTTGCAGGATTTTTCATTGGTATGCGCGCAACACGACAATTTCATGACGAAGAGGTCAAAGATAGACTTGTGGAACCCAGCGCACCCTCCATTCTTTCCCGTAAGTCCCGTAGTGACTGCCGCATCCCTCTTCCCGGTGATGTACTTGATGGATACATCCTTAGCGAGAAAATAGGCCAAGGCAGCTTTGGTATTGTCTTTGAAGGTCATCCAGTTGATAGTCTGAAGAAGGTAGCAATAAAGATAGAGACGTACACGGACTTTAGACACTCTCAGCTAGAGAACGAGTATAAGACTTACTTGCTACTACAGAGCAGTCCCGGGTTTCCTAAGGTCGAGTACTTTGGCGAGAAGAGTGGTTATAAGTTCTTGGTTATGGAGTACTTAGGCATGAGTTTAGAGGATATGCTAGCCATTCGCAATCGCAAGTTTAGTGCCAAAACTATCTTTATTGTGGCCAAGCGTATGATAGACTTGATTGAGACATTGCATAGTACGGGTCGAGTCCATCGCGATTTAAAGCCTGATAACTTTTTGATAGGCCGAGATCCCAAAAAGTTGTTTTTGATTGATTTAGGAATGGCCAAAGAGTACATTGAAATGGGGCAGCATATTGCCATAACTACTGGGAAGCGACTAACTGGGACACCAAGGTATGCCTCAGTAAATGCCCATCGTGGCTATGATATCAGTCGACGGGATGATTTAGAGTCGATTGGGTACATCTTAGTTTACTTAGCTAAAGGGAGATTGCCTTGGCAGGGCTTGAAGGAGTCAAAGCGAGAGAAGTACCGGATTGTTGGGGAGATGAAACGGACGATGAAAGTAGAGACAATTGCTAAGGACTTACCAGGGGAGAAGATGATTGTGGAGTACTTCCGGTATGTTAAGGCCTTAGGATTTGATACGATTCCAGATTATGTTTATTTAAGATCTTTGTTAGATGCGGCTTTGCATGAGAATGGCCTAGTGGATGATGGAGTATTTGAGTGGGAATATGCCGTTAAGGGTTCAATTGAGGACATGACGGCTAATGATAGTTTAGATGGTGATCGAGTTAGGAAAAAAGGTATTCTCTATTGGCTGAAGAAGCTTTTCTGTCAGTGTCTTATGTAAAAGTACAAGCAAATAAAGACTGAATAGGAAAGTCAAGATTTAATCATGACAATTTCCTTTTATGGCAATCTTTTTTCTTTCAATTTTATCTACTCAATTTAACATTAACTTAAGTTAGTATTGGCATTCAATTAATAAACAACTTAATATTATCCCAACATATTATTATATCACCTTAGTACTATCCCATTGGGTTAGTATTGGGTTAGTTGCAGTGCCTACTGATTAGTAGATACTAAACTCAACTCAATTCAACTTAACTTAATCCAATGCTTAACTTAACTTAACTCAATACTCAACTAAACTTAACTCAACTAAACCCAAGTCAACTCAACTAAACTCAACTAAACTAAACTCAACTCAATACTTAACTTAACTCAACTTAACTCAAACTTAACTGAATACTAACTCATTTATTGCCAGGAAAGGTGGACATGCTCAGGATTGCCGTCCAGCTGGAGAGTATGTGCGCCAAAGAGATCGCGCATGGCTTGAATTAAGTTGCCAGAAGACTTGGCTGTACGTAAGGAGTCATAGTACTGTAAAGATTCGGAAATACACGGCACACTAACTCCTTGCATGGCACAGAAGGAAACTAAACGGCGCAATGCTTGAATGCCTTCACTAGCTATCTTGATAAACACGGGTGATTCTTCCAAGACTTCAAATTTAGCCATCTCAGCTAAGGTAGATAAAAACTCACTACGAATAATGCAGCCATTACTCCAGATCTGGCATAACATGCCTAATGAGATAGGCCAGTTTTGTGTCTTAGCAATACTAGTGATTAAGTTGAACCCCTGGATATAAGACAAAGCCCGGCATAAAAGGAAAGCTTTCCGCATCTCTTCATTACTAATACACGGCTTAGTCGTTACATCACCCCCACCAGGTAAAACCTCAGCTAGTTTCATACGTAGGGCTTTTTGACTAGAAATAACTCGGGCTGTTACAGCTGCTCCTATAATTGGAGTAGGCGAACCAGAACTCAAAGCTTCCTGCACCGTCCATACTCCAGTTCCTTTCTGCTCTGCCGTATCCCAAATCCGGTCTATCACCACCCCCTGCTCATCTTGCATAGCCAGAATCTGCTGAGTTATCTCCAATAAAAACCCAGATGTCCCCGATAACTTCCATTCCTGGAAACAATGACAGATTTCCAACGGATTGTGATGTCGACGCATAATCTGGTAAAAATCAGCAATGATCTGCATTTCAGCATACTCAATTCCATTATGGACTGTCTTAACTAAATGCCCACTTCCTTGTGGTCCTAGCCATTGACAACAAGGCTCACCCTTCTCCGTCTTAGCAGATACAGCTTGTAAAATCTCTCCTACACTCTCCCAGCCTTTCTGACACCCACCAGGCATAATAGCCGGTCCATGTCTAGCCCCTTCTTCCCCACCAGATATACCACATCCTAAAAACAAGAACTTACCCTCAGTTGCTTCACACCGCCGCAAAGTATCACGATAATTAGAATTACCCCCATCAATCACAGTATCTTCAGCACTAAGTAATCCTTCTAGTTCGTGCAGTAAATCATCCACTGCCTGACCAGCTTTCACCATCAATAAGATACGTCGAGGTCTTTTCAATTCTCCTACTAATTCAGCTAGTGAATTGTACCCTCTTATCTTCCTTTCGGCAGGTAAAGACTCAACAAAGACCTTCGTTTTCGCAACTGTCCGATTAAATATACCAACTGAATAATCCTTATCTGAAAAGTTCAAAATTAGATTCTCACCCATTACGCCCAAACCAACTACGCCTATATCCATCATAACAAATATTTTTGCATGCCTAATAGCTCTAACTCTTCTCCGCCTTCTTCTCCGCCTTCTCCTGACCTGTTTGACTTCGATGCACCTAAAATCAAAGACTTCAGTAAGGCTAGATATCAAAAACAAAAAAGAATGATTGAAAAGGTTCTAAAGGAGCATGGCAAGCCAGGCCAGGCCTTAGGGCCTTCTATGACCAAACGGGACAAACTTATCAAGATAGAACCAGCCGCACCTCGAGTTACATGTTTCTCTGAAGTTTTCAAAAGCAAGACCAAATCAGAGATAACGGTATCTAAACCGTTAAGTTTATGTGATCTTTCGGCCAATCAAAGTGTAGATGATCGCTGGTTTGAAAGACGAGAAAAAGAGATAGAGTCGGGTAAGGATATAGAAAAAGAAATGGGACGAGCTTTAAACCAACCAATGGAAGTAGTTATTCCGAAATCTAAGATATGTTCGAGTTTATTTGAAAGTGAAGAGGAAGAGGAGTTACTGCCTCGTTTAAAGATTATCTCAACTCCACCGATTAAAAGGAGTAATCGGACATTTACTTCGGCTGAGTTTGATCCTTCCGAGATAAAGGACCTTTCTAGATCTTTTGAACGGTACGACTAGTGAGTTATTTAAGCTTAAATAAGCTTATCTTATCTTAATATGTATACATAAATAAACTCACTTAAACTAGTATTATATTTAAATTGTGTTTGGGTTGAGTTTGGTTTTAGTTTAAATTAAATTGGATTAAATTGAGTTATGTTAAGTTACGTTAAGTTAAGTTAAAGTTAGTATTATATTGTATTGTGTTATGTTGTATTGGATTGTGTTGTATTGTGTGCTAAATTAAGTTATTGTAGTACTAGGTTAAGTTATTGTAGCACTGTCATACGACTACTAGCCAATACTACCACGATACCAATACGATACCAATATGATCAACTTAATTACTGATAAGCTACCCACTAGCTAATAAACACTACTTAGTAGTACTCATACTCATACTCATACTCATACTCATACCAACACCAACACCAATACCAACTCAATATGACGTCATCTTATTCCAACTCAACCAATACATACTCAATAAACGACAATACTTATCTCATGGAGTGTCTTTAATAGAGGATGTATAAGTTAAGTACTAGGTTAGTATTGAGTTAGTATAAGTTATACTAAGTTATGATTAGACTAAGTTGGTAGCAAACATGTGCCAATAAAGGAACCATCTCAGTGTTAGTTGAGTTTTTGTTTGTGGTTTGGGTATCCATAGATTATCTTGGAATATCTATAAATTATCTTGGTCCTTTACACACTATCTTATCTATTAGTCGTCAAAGATTAACTTGGCTCAACTTAATACTAACATGACAATTTATTTAGTAGGGAACAAGGTATGCGTCTTATTGAAAGTGCTTGGCTGAGTATTGGATTAGATAATGAGGTTTTTGCTTGGTTTGGAAGTGGTCTGAAATGGATTTGTGATAATTTTCCTTATCTGGTTTTATTAGGGGCTTTGGGTCATGGTTTGATCTTCTATCGATCAGGACGGATTAAGGTCTTGCCGGGGCTGGATAGTTGGTTTTGGCAGATTTTTGGCTGCTGTATGTTGAGTGTCTTACTTAAGTATGGATTTGGTGGTGCTCGACCACGTGATTCGAACTTTGAGATTCCTAGTGGCTGGCATAAATTGCAGGACTTGCCTCCACTCAACGGACACCATCGAATTTTGATTGGGCCCCTGGAACGGTATGCTTTTTTACAATCTCAACCTGTTCGTGAAGTGTACAACCTGCCCTTGAGTTTAGCTAGACTGAAAAGTAGGTACGGTCCTTCTTCTGGTACGCCTAGTAGTCATAGTGTTTTAGCTGGTTATCTTATGCAACAACGCTATCGCTTATCTAAAGGTCGACCGATAGTAATTGGACTAGGACTAATTTTAGGTGGATCACGAATACTTTATCAGCACCACTATCCATACCAAGTAGGTTTAGGCATGATTATTGGCTACATAATTGGGACAATAGATTGGCTGTAAGCAAAAGTTTGTTTATGAAAGACATTGTTCAGAAGGTAAACACTCTACATTCGCTTTGTATGGGCGTGAATAACCCTTTAAATCTGCCCCAGATAGTGGTGGTTGGTGCCCAAAGTTCTGGGAAGAGTAGTGTGCTAGAGAATATTGTAGGTGGTGATTTCCTGCCACGAGGTAGTGGGATGGTTACCCGACGACCTCTAATGATTCAGATTGTACCTAGTCCCGATAGTGAGACATCTTGTTCTTTTGGACATATTCCTAACCAGGTCTTTGTCTTAGAACAAGTAAGAGGTGAGATAGAAAAAGAAACAGATCGAATGCTCAATTCTAAAAACGATGTATCAGCTATCCCGATTGTTTTGAAAATTCAAATGCCAAATGGCTTACCACTAACTTTAATCGATCTACCCGGAATCATTAAAGTTCCCATGGAAGGTCAACCTGCTAGTATAGTCAAAAAAGTTGATGACATCATCAAAAGTTACATTCAAAATCGAAACACTATCATTTTAGCCGTAACTCCAGCTAATTTAGATATTTCCAACTCAGATGCTTTGAAAGTAGCCAAGGAAGTAGATCCTAATTTAGAACGTACTTTGTGTCTCCTAACTAAAGTAGATTTAATGGATCCAGGTACAGATCTTCTTTCTGTTCTACAGGGTAACATGATTAAGGTCAAGTTAGGTTTTGTTCCAGTTATTTGTCGGGGTGAGAAGTCTTTGAAGACTCAAACAACTATTGCTGAAGCCTTGGCTACTGAACAGAGTTTCTTTGCTGCTCATCCGGCCTATGCAGCCAAATCTAGCTTTTGTGGTATTCCCTATCTAATCCAACGACTTCATGCCGTGCTTAGTGAAAGCATTCACAAATCCATTCCTTATCTACAAGAAAAAGTAGATCTTTTGATTGCTAAAACAGAAAAAGACCTACATGAACTAGGCGATCCAGTTATAGACGAAAGACAACTGCTCATGCAAATCATTACTGAATTCAAGCATCAACTCGATCAAAAAGTATCCGGATCACCCTCACATACTGCCGCAGCACCTACTCTATTTCTCATTGATGGTGCACGGATTGCCTACTCTTTAGATATCACCTTTGCTAAATTCATTCGCAACTTACCGGTTTTTGAGGCCTCAGATCGTGAAATCGAAACGATCTTAATGAATGCCTCAGGTGTTTTTGGTAACTCCAGCACGGCCCAAAGTCTTTCTCATTTTGTAGCTCATGCAATCGAAAAGATCACTCCACATTGCATTCATCTTTCCGACCGCATACTGATGGAAATGACTTGTATGGTCAATACTATTCTGGATCAGCCACACATTGCTCGATTTACTCATCTGAAAAGAGCACTAGCCCAAGCCACTACCAGGTACCTCAAAGAAAGATCGACCGCCTCCATTAGTCTTATCAAACAGTTTCTGCAATGGAATGCCGTCTATATCCGATCTCCATCCTGTTTCCAACCCAATGAAGCACCCAACTCCCACTACCCCGATATCAATACTTCCCCAACTGCTTCGCCCTCTTACACCAGCCACATCCCACCTAAGTTCTATTGGCCGCCCACCAACTCAACCTCCTCAACTCCCACTCCCATCTCTACCAACCCGAATACTACCTCTACATCTACCAACTCTACATCTACCAACTCAACCTCTACCACTACTAACCCCATTTCCAATACCGACTCCTTACGCAATGATATCCTCCGGCAAATCACTCACCTAAAAACCGTTGTGATTGAACAAGTCCCGAAAATCATCGTACTAGAAATCGTCCATAAAACACTCACTCAAATCCAGCAACGACTTATCACTGATATCTACCTTCCAGAAGATCTCCCTACCCTTCTAGAGGAAGAAGAAGCCATCCAGCAAAAACGCCAAACCCTATCAGCTACCCTAAGCTCTCTCTACAAAGCCCAACAAATTACCAGAACATTCTAGTACTCCTTTTACATCTTTATTGGTCCAACCAGCCCCGTACACCACCAATCACCCCTCACCAATAACATTTGTTTCTTTGTTGTTATTTTCTCTTCTTTAGAACACCAGATGCACAGACTAACCATAAACTATATGCAAGAATCCTTTGAAATACAAGTGGCCGAAAAGGAAACAATCGATGAGTTAAAGAAGAAGATAGCTGAAAAGACTCAAGTCCTTCCCGAAAGACAGCGATTGACCCATAAAGGCAGTATCTTACACGAAGGCCATAAAACCATGCAGGATATTGGCGTTGATAGTACATCCGTTATCTATGTTAGCAAAGTAGAGGATTCACATGGTCCTAAAGAGATTAAAGGCCAAGTGCATCCACAACAACCGGTTCATCCCGGTATGGCTATGATGAAAGACCCCGGCATGAAGAAGATCTTCAGCAACCCCGAAGTAGTCAAAGGTATCATTGATATGTTCCCTGAGATGAAGAAAGACAATCCAGAACTACGTAAACTCATGGAAAGTTCTCAAATGCTGGAAGAGATGGCTAAACTAGCTGAAGATCCGGACTACATGAACACGCAAATGAAGAACATAGATATCGCCATGGCTAAACTAGAAACAATTCCAGGCGGTTTCAATATGCTTCGTGGGATGCTTAAAACGCAAAAGGATCCCAGTGCAGGTTTAGCCGAAGGACTTGATATGACTAGTTTTAAGGAAGGTTCAGCAGTAGTTCCAGAGATAGGCAAGCCAGCACCCAATCCGTGGGGGTCTTACAACTTCAATCCTATCTTGGAGTACCGGCGGCAAGTGGAGTACATGAAAGAGTGTGGATTTACCGATGTGGGGTCCAATATTCAGCTGCTGATCAAGCACCAAGGCAATGTTGATGAAGCCATTAGCGAGATTCTTTCAGCATCCATGCACTCCCCCACGACCGACACTGAGTCTCGCATCTAGTTCCACCACTTGCTACTGATCAATAAATCTATCGATATGGTTTAATCTTGGTATTATGTTAAGTTAAGTTGCGATAATATAAGTTACGATAAGATTGTGTTGTGTTATGTGAGGTTATGTTAAGATTATATTTAGATTATGTTATATTTAGATATGTTATTCTATGTTATATTTAGATATGTTATTCTATGTAATGATACACTGTACTATTTAGACCAAGCCAAGCCAAACCAACTCAAAGCAACCCTCTACCAACTTAATACTAACTTAAATCAACTAGACTAGCCAGTTATTGATTGGCTATTGAACTAGTACTGGGCTATGACTTAATAGGGACTTATATGTCTTTGTCTTATCCTATCTAATAATACTAACCCAATACTATCTTAATTAGACCACCCCACAACAAACACTATCTTATCTAGCCCAATTAGGACAAATTAGACCAAGTACACAACAACCTAATTAAAACACAAGCTATATATATCTAACCCAATAACAAACTCAACTCAACACAACACAACAACAAACTCAACTCATAAGCAACACCATTTATTCTGGTTATCCTAACTCAACTCATCCTAAGAACTTCCGGTTCAGCAGGGCAATAAGCTTAGGTACTGAAAAGACACACCCAATTGCATCCAAAGCTATCTCGTTCTCGCCTAAGCATTCTTTCAAAAGCAAAACATCCAGTCGAATCCAGTCACTACTAGCGGCTAATCCCTGCACTAGTACCTCCACCCGAATTCCGCCATCGTCCTCAACTGCCATCCGCAACTCAATACTCTCCAACTGAGACGGCTGCCAGTTATACATCCGACAAACCACCCCCTTCTCCAATAAAGTCTGAGCTGCAGCTACATACACCCGCCGACTATCCACTACCTTCACCAGTAATTGCGCCAAGTACTCCGTACAAGTCTTATCCCGCTGCTCAATACTCACCCGGGCTGCTTCTAAACTAGCAATAGCCTTCTCGGTAGCTGCTATCTCACGCCGTCTAGCCACTCTAGCCCGAACCCGATGCACTACATCCCGACAAACTAGTCCTAAAACTTCCTCACACGTATGCACATTCTTTATCTCACCCCGATCAAACAGTCGTGCTAATAAACCCCGCGTCTCTTCCTTGTACCTCTCCAACTCCCCGCCATACAACTCATTAAACTCCTTCTCCTCCTCACTCGTTGCTTTGCGTTGCAGTATCTCAGCAATAGTCTTCCCAGGACAGCACCTTATCAGCCTTAGAATCGCCCATTTAGCCATTCGCTTCTCCCGGGCACTCACACTTTCCTGCGGCCGACCACTTAAACCCCCCGGGACTACAAAGACCAGTTTAAAAGGCAAGGGATAACAAGCACTGACAAATTCCTGAATATCCTGGGGTAGACCTTTAGTCATCCCTAAAGCCCCCAATAAGTAATTAACCTCATCACCAGATAAACAAAGTAAGTTGCTCATTACACTACTCTCAATATACTGCAAAGTATAGTACTCAGCAATAGGTTGAACCTTACCCATTTCCAAGACCCAGCGACTCACTGCTTCTTGCCACTCCGAACTACTACTAGCTAACATACCTGCCTGCGTGCAAATAGCCCCAAGCTCAGCCCGACGTTCAGTAGTTAGACCTAAACCACTACCTAGGTCAGGCGAGACAATCAAAGGGACAAATAATGTCTCCCAAAGCAAACTAAAAGCCAGTCCAGCCGATTCGGACCTAGTCACTAAACACTTGGCCAAAAATCGCACTGGATAAGGTACTTGATCATTCCCAATACTTACTAAACTCTTCAAACATACTTCAGCTAAAGTACTACTACAACCACTACCAGCCACTAAACTACTCAGTAAACTATCACGAATAAGTTGATGAACCTGACCTAAACCATGACTAAGTACCAGAGCCCTTAAAGCCGCACCAGCCAAGTAAATAGGCCGAGCACTACCCGGTCTTTCCTTAGCCCGCACGAGTCCTTCAATCAGTCGTAAGTAAGCATACTCCTCCCGTGGCGTTTTAGCCGCGCCAAATAAGCCTAAGACCTTCTGGGCACAGAAAGCTTCTGCCTCACGCGGCCGCATACTTAGAACAGCCTTAACTATCAACTCCGGATCTTCATGTAAACGGGCAAACAGTCGTTGTAAACTCTTATACTGCACATAAGTCCCACGATCAGCCGGAATATCCTTAGCACTCCCCGGTCTTCCTATCTTATTCTTAACCAACAGAGCAATCCTATGTTCTAACCCACTTAAAGTCTTCTCCCGAGCTGCATTCTCAGCAAACAATCCGGCTAAAATCCGGTTCAAGTCCTCAATCAAAGCTTCCGTCCTCTCCTCATCCCCAGCTAGTAAAGAGGCAAAGTACCGCAAGCCAAATAGAGTAGGAGTGACATTCCCTTTAATTTCAGCCAAGGCCCGACCGGCCAATAAAGTCCGCATCATAGCTTGCACCGTAGTCACTGATTTAGCCAAGTGAGTTGACAATAGTAAAGTATCATCTTCAACTGAACTAGTACCAACTAAAGCAGCAGTTACGGCCAAAGGATCACTTATACTACTCCCATCAAGACTATTACTAACTAAATCACTACTACCAAGACTATTACTAACTAAACCTTTACTTAAATCATTAACCTCACCACTACTATTACCCCCTGCCTCTGTTGCACAAATACCATCCATAGCACTAGAAATCGTACTAAAACTAGGTAGTTTTACTCCAGCACTTTCAATCTCCTTTTCCTTCTCTCGTATCTCAGCATCAGAAAATCTGGCTGTACCTACTAGAGAAGAAAGTTTGCCAGCAACACTCTTCTTGGCTAGTAAATGGGCTAAAGCATGAATACAGTAAATAACTCGTGGCGGGTTCTTCTTCTCGTAAAGATCTACTAGTTCAAATAAGAAAACATAAGATAAGCCAACTGATCGTGTAAAGGAAAAGAAAGCATTGATATTATCAGTATGTCGGTACTGTAAGACTGGATCAGTAAAAATACGTGGGACTAATTCGGGCATAAAGACTTTGACTAGTTTAGCTAGATAAACACCATCACGTAAAGCTTCTTCAAAAGAATTGGTCTGAATTTCTTCGCCTATCGTTCTTTCCATCCAATTCTTAGCCTCTTCTAAGTGGCATAAGTATTCGTAGACTTGGTTCCTTTGTCTTTCCCTATCCATTTGTTCAGCACTAAGCATACGTTCATCTTCGATAGTACTATAATACGCTCCTTCCTGCATCTTGTTAAAAATAAAAGGACTAAATTAATATAAAGGTTTAGATTAGGTTTAGATTGGGGTCTTGTTTAGATCATTATTGGGTTTTAGATAGGGTTTTATCTTTACTATGGAAGTATTGAAGGTCATAATTATTTTCATATCATATTGTTCAAAATACTCTTTACTCTTGTTTAATGATAGTATCAAGTTAGGTTTATGTTGGTGTGGAGTTGGAGTTGGAGTTGAGTTGAGTTGGTGTGGAGTGGGGTTAGTATGGGTGATATTGGGTTTAGTGTTGGGATCAAGTTGATGGTAAATGGGTTTGGGTTTGGGATGGGATGAGTTGGTATTATGGGTGGGTTTTTGGTGAAGTTTGGATTGGGATCAATTTTGGCGCCAAAAACATTTTGGGTTAGCATTGATTAGTATTGAGTTAAGTTTAGTTTGGTATTGGGTTGTGTTGTGTATAGATTAAGTTGTGTATTGAGTTGAGTTGGGTTGAGTATAGTTTAGTATTGAATTATGTTGGGTTAAGTTGAGTTGAGTAAGTTAATGTAGTGCTGTAATAAGGCCACAAACCAAACCAAACCCATACTAACACAATACTAACACAATATTAATCTGATTAATGGTAAACTACTCACTACTTAGTACACACTACTTAGTACACACTAGTTACTACACACTACTTAGCATACACTACTTAATAGTACTAAACTAATGCTAACTTAATATGGCGTCATACTCACTCATCCTTATTTATCTAATAAAAGGTACCGGTACTCGTATCAAGGAATGTCTTTATTGGATTATGTATTAGTCGATGGGCACTACAGTTAAGTTAAGTTTATTATAGTATAGATTGAGTTGAGTTTATTATAGTATAGATTGAGTTAAGTTTATTATAGTATAGATTGAGTTGAGTTGAGTTAATTGTTATGCCATACCAATTCAATCCAATACCACCTCAATACTAACTCAATACCAACTCAATACTAACCCAATACTATATAGTATACTACTCGGTTGTGTGACTAGTTGACTTGATTGGATAGCAATTTGATAAGTAAATAATTGGATTAATATATAATTGAGGTAAAGATGGCAGAAAATAGAGAAATGAATAAGTTGATTGGTGTAATACATTACTTAGGTGGTAAAGATAGGAGTGAACGGATTAGAAGACATAGTAAGTTGGTTTGTCTGGTGGTTGGTTTGGTTTGGCTGCTTAGTATTGGGCTGGTTAGTGGAAGAGAAGCTAGAGATGTAGTGGCGCAGGCTAAAGTGGTAGATGAAGTAGTAGCGAAGGATGATGTAATAGGTGAAAGCGTACGTGATTTGGAAATAGTTACTATGGATATTGAGTATAGGTATGGAGTTGGTGCGGGCTTGGGAGAAGAAACTGTGCGATCGGGGACTATTGAGATAGCTTTGTTTAGCCGGCAGTACCCGGTGACAACTAAGAACTTTAAGCAGTTCTGTCTTGGTTGGAAGGGAAGGGCTTACGGTAAAGAAATGGAGTTGAGCTATACGGGTGTGTCTTTTCATCGCGTAGTTAATGAGTTTGTGGTACAGGGTGGAGATATCCTGTTGGGTAATGGTCGTGGTAGTGTGAGTAATGTTGGGGAGAATGGATTGCCTTTTGCTGATGAGGTGGATAAAACTGGAGGACCAGCACGGAAGCATAACTTAGAAGGGATGCTGGCTATGGCTAATTCTGGACCGGACACGAATGGATCTCAGTTTTACTTTACTTTAGTGCCTAATGCTAACAATCCGGCAACTTTATGGTTCTTGGATGGAAAACATACTGTTTTTGGCCGAGTTGTACGGGGAATGAACTTGATACGTGAAATTAGTAAGGAGTATAATGATGCTACTGGTCGGAAAGATGGCGTGTGTGCAACTATTGGCAAATGCTATGCAACGACTCGGCAGGCTACGGAAGATGACATTAAGCAAATTAGCGTACCAGATTGTGATATTAGTGAGCGGCCTTACTTAATGAAACCGGAAGAGAAGGAGGATCCTAGGGACCTTTAGGTACTACTTAGTCTAATAATATTCTTATTTAGTTTGGTTTACTGTTTTGTGCTTAGTGTTTGTTTTGTTGTTTAGTCCGATACGGGTGGGTTTGCTTGTTTAGTTTGGGTTTGGATGGTTTAGGAAAGAAATAGTGCCGGTTTGGGATGATAGTGATGGTTGGGGTTTGAGTGTAGGCCTATTAATCTTTGCTTTTGAGGAGGTAGGATGATGAGAAATGCTTGGAAGATAAGAAATCTTGGTTTAGGAATTATGTTGGGGCTCTTGGTAACGATATGTGGGTGCTTGATATGTATTCTGTTTGGTCGGGCAAGTTGGAGTAAGAAAGGACCGCAGGTGGCCGTAGAAAAGGAGTTGAATCGGGCAGGTTTATGTTGTAATGGTGAGATCAATACGAGGGAGTGTAATGCTCAGGAAACTGAGGTAATGAAGGGGGATGAGGATGAGGGGATGAAGAGAGATAAGGACGAGAATGGGGTAATGAAGAGGGATAAGGATAAGGATGGGGTAATGAAGGGAGATAAGGAGAAGCGCGAGGTAATGAAGATGTATGAGAGTATGGTTGGAGTAAGATTAAGAACAGTGTTTGCGGCGGCCAGTATAGCTAAACATATTGAGAACGCGGAGTTTATTGTACAAGTGTATTGGCCGCTTATTATTCAAGGGCCTGGATGCAAGGCATCGGTGGCAAAGTCTGGTTTGATTGATCAAATTGTTTGTTGCTTGCTGGACTTGTTGGCATGCTTTTATGAGTCTAAGATGAATAGTTCGGACCATGACTATGACTGGTTTTGGTGCTTTGCAGTTGAATCGTGCCCCAATTTGTATCGGAGGTTGGGACACTATTTCTCGGAGGCGAAACTAAAGGAAATGGTTGCGGTCATTCATGACTATGACAATAAGATGTCACCTAACTCGGGAGAGGCGGACCTGCGTCCTTTATTGGAGATATCAAAACGATTTGTTTTGGGTATTGCCAAGTATTCTAAGGTTGGTGGGTTTAGTAGTAAGTGCCAGGCTATTTATGGACGAGTTTGTGCGTATAATAACTCGTCCTTGCGTGGTTTTGGGGCGAATGAGTTGAAGCAGATTCGGGCATATATCTGCTTTTTGGACATGCTGTGTTATATGAGTCCTACTGATGCAACAAGAGCCAAGACCATTTCTAAGGTTTTGCATAATATCGAAACTGGTATTGATAGTCTTTTGCCATGTACTAGTCTTCAAACTGAAGCACAGATTGTTGAGCGGTTTAATGTGTATATTAAGAATATTGTTGTGCTAATTAATAGTCAACTAGTTCTTCTTCACGAAATAATTGAGTTCGCTGATGTTGTTTATTTCTATGCTCGGCGAGTTGATATATTAGGTGGTAAATCGCCCTGGAATATACCTGCTAGCTGGAGCTCAGTGCAATGGAAGACGACTCTTCCATATAAGTCTTGCAACATTACTGGGGAGTGTCAAAGAGAGGTGGTCAAGTATTATGCCCAGGCTCTGGATAAGTATCTGAACGCCCAGACCATCATTGAAACGTTGCCTGGCTCTTAGGAGTCGGCACATTCTTAAAACCCATAAGCAGCCCGGCTAAGCAACCTCCTTGACTCTTTATTAAGTGGCTAAACTCATGATTCTTGCACTTAACGTCAGCAATATCTAACCCACATTGTTGTTCTAACTACTGTGTATCTACTAGCCTTTCTATTAATAAAGACTTACATGCGGTCTAGATTATTATGGGCTAGTTTGGGTTGATGCTGTGTCATTTGCCTTTGTTCGGAATTGATTGAGAATTTTCAAATGAGATAAGAAGCAAAAGATTTTGAAACTGCTAATGGAGCTAAGTAGCAAAAAGATAAGGATTACTGGTGCATGTATTGGGGTAGGACTTATGGTTGTGTTTAGTGGGTGGTTGGTATATCGTTTACGGCCATGGTACACTTCAACAACTCTGCCTCAACCATCTCAACCATCTCAACTTCCTCTACCAAATGAGCCAATTCAATCTTCGCAGCCAAGCCCGTCCTCTCAATCAAGTACTCTTCAATTAAATATGACCTCGCCCGAAGCCGGTGAATCAGATGATGTGAGCATAGAGCTAACACCTCAGGGTTACATAAAGGTTATGTGGATACATAGACAAGAGCTAATTCAGCAAAATGATACAACCCCGCTAGACTCAATTGCTATGATGAAGCAGGCCCAGGAGAATATAGGTCTCGTCTTTGCGTTTATTCCTTTCTGCATAGACCATGAGCGTATCCAACATGAGTTTTTCCTGCCGATGGTTAATCTCCGTGATGATATTACCTATTCGAGCGAGAAAGAGCAACTTGCTCGGACCTTTAATACACTAGTAGCCGGTACAAAGTCTTGGCCATTATCTGACGGGTTTTCTTTCTTAAATGAGAAATATCGTCCTATCTGGTGCCATATTCTTGGTTACTTCCCCAACATTTACTTGCACCTAGCCCAATATCTAACTAATGATGAGGTGAAGAGCCTTCAGAGCCAACTAGATCTACATGCTAGCCTTGGGCCATTTGAAAAAGACGATGAAAATGACATCTTAACACCCCTGCCAGTTAGGAATTTTGTTTGGGCTGTTGCTAAGCACGTTAATCTGGGCGGATTTAGTGACAAGTGTGAATCGATTTTCTATAAGATAAAAGAGTTCAAGTCAAATCAAACCCACTTAAAGGAGATGAAAGATTTATACTATCTTGAAGCTCTTCTGTTTTCGATCGATGTGTTCTCGTATTTAGCGCCGATTGAGAAAGGACTTAGGGATGAGATTGGGCTGGTATTAAATGAACTTGAAGACGCGGTTGATATTGCCCATGCGTCCACTAATATAGAAACAGCTAGTACGGACTTTAAGAGCTATTTTGACGACCATACTTCAGCTCTTATTAATGTGACCGAGAAGTGTCTTTCATTCCTCCAGGCAATAATTGACGCGGCCTCGCCCGTTTGGACTTATTCTAAGGTTTTCCATGACGATGGACTGGATAACCCAGAAGATGTTGTTGCCTCGGGAATATTGTGGAATACTTTGAATCCGGATAATCTTATTGGCAGCATTATACTATGCCATGGTCAAATAGTTGACTATTATGGTCGTGCCTTTTCTAAATATCAGGAATGTGCGCAGTATTTACGAGAGGCACCCATCAGCAGCTCATCTACATCTAGTCCATATGAATCAGCAGAGGAAGCTCAAAGTGAATCTCAAGCTATCGAGCCCGTTGTCTGATATACTGCCAACCCGCCATTAACTATTATTAAAGCGCAACTATTACTACAACCACTATTATTATCAAAGCACAGCTATTGTTTCTGGTTAGCCAAGCCTCAAAATAACCCAGCCTAGCTGCAATGCCCAATAAAGAAAGTCCAACTTAACCAGTGCATATTCTCTTAAAGACATTACATGAGACAAGTCTGAGTACCATTTATTAACTAAGTAAGGATGTGAGTGTGGATGACTTCGTACTGAGCGTAGCGTAGATATGCTAAAGCAAATTAGTTAAAGCATCCTGATTCTATTAAAGTTGCGTGTTAGTATTAATATCAATTGATAGATATAGTGAGTGCCTTAGCAACAGTCAGGTTAGTGTTGGGGTGGTGTTGTGTAGTGGTTGTATGACGGCGCTACACTAACCTAACTTAACCCAACCCAACTCAATATATGGTTGATGAAATTGCCTCTTCAATAAACTATCTTAACATCTTTTGTCTAGATATATCTTGTGTGCTAACTTCTATTTATTAAAATGGAAACTATCACTACTGATAAGAAAAGGTTAAATAAAATACCAAGATACCTAAAATTTAACATACTTCCATGCTATCTCAAATAAGAAGACAAATGCTTGTGTTAGTGCTAGTGTCGTTGGTTGCTTGGATAAATGGTGCGGCTTTGCCACAAAATAGTATGATGTCTCTAATCAGATCAAGTTCCAAAAGAGAACTAGTGGACAACTTTGTTAATGCTGTCTTTTCGTCGAATAGCTCTAAACCTAACGAGCCATTGCGCTTTTTGAACCTACGCAACCGGTTTGCGAGCGGCCAACTATTTACAATCTATTTCCATAACAGCCAGATAAGACTTTCCTGTGTAAGAATTGCTGGTTTTGTTAGCTCGTTTAATAATACCAAAGTTTCGTCATTAATTGGACGACTTTGCGCTAATGAAGTCATTGTTGATGGATTCACAGTTACACTGCCGATAGATGTTCTTCGTGTTATCTTTCAGATACTCGGGAATTGTCAATGCAACTATATGTACCTGACTGAGCTGCCACCTACTATATCTGACTACCAGACAGTGAATACACTTGAACTAGTTAAAAAGGCCATTGACCCTGATGGCTTTCTCGGATTCCAATGCAAGCGCCTAGTTTTCTCTCTATCCACTACTGTGGCGGCCTATTTGATTACCTATACCGACATCATTGCCAATAGTGCATCCTTCCAAATATCTCATCCTTTCGCTCCTTATGAATACAAGACAGCGGCCGCCCTTATAAATAGCAGCATTGACCTGGTTTATTATGAGAGCTCTGCGAAGAGTAAGAAAGAGAAGAAGTGGTCAACAACCGATCGGATTTTATTGCTTGTGCAGGAAGCTATATACACCCAATCCCCATATATGACAAAGGAAAGTCCAGCGTGTCTCTTGACCCGTGCCACTATTAAGCATCCTTGTTGGTTTTGCCTTGAGGTGATCGCCGATGAACTTCTGCTAGTTGCACAGGCGCCTAAGAAGGACCGATTGCCTATGGGCCGAGATGGACTTGATTTTATACAGACACTTGAGAAATTGGCCACTATTGGCCACTATAACGCAGTCATCTTTATAGGCACGTTGAATAAACAGTACACCAGTGCTGATATGCGCATAATCATCAGCCTTTGTGCCAAACTGGCTACCTACTGCCCTAAGATGATTCTGAAAGGCCTTGGCTTTGAACTCGCTACTGACTTGACTCCCAACCAAAATCTCAACAAGCTTGGTTCCATTGAAC